ACCCTCTCAACCTCAGTTCCGTTGATGTAGATGGGGGCGTGTTCTCCTTCTTTCTTTCTGAAGTCAATGATCAGTTCTTTAGTTTTGCCGATGTTGAGAGAGAGATTGTTCTCATTGCACCATGTCACCAAGCACTCTATCTCCCTTTTGTATTTTGACTCGTCATTGTTAGATATTTGTACTACTACGGTGGTGTCATCAGCAAACCTGTAGATGACGCTCGTTCAGAATTTGGCAACACAGTCATGAGTGCATAGGGAGTACAGTGGGGGGCTGAGGATGCATCCTTGGGTGGCTCCAGTGTCGAGTCTCATTATGGAGGAGGTACAGTTAACTATCTTCACTGATCGTGGTCTGTGGGTCAGAAAGCCAAGGATCCAGTTGCAGAGGGCGGAGCTGAGACCAAGGTCATGGAATTTTGAGATCTGTCTGAAGGGGATAATGGTGTTGAAGGTGGAGCTGTAGTCAATGAGCAGGAGTCTGATAATAGGTGTCCTTGTTGTCTCGATGTTCCAGGGATAAGTGCAGGGCTAGGGATATGGCATTCATTGTGGACCTGTTACGTCAGTAGGCAAATTGTAGGGGATCAAAGCAAGCTGGGAGACTGGAGTTGATGTGGGCCATGACCAGCCTCTGGGCAGTAGTCGTTAAGACACATTGCATATGCTTTCTTAGGTACAGGGATGATGGTGGTCTTCTTGAAGCAGTTGGGGGCTTCGGCATGTAGGAGGGAGAGGTTGAAGATTTGGTGAATACCTCTGCCAGTTGGTCCACAGAGAATCAGAGTGCTTGCCCTGGGTCACCGTCTGGGCCTGTCGCTTTCCTTGGTTTGACTACTAGGAAGACCAATCTGATATCTGTATTTGACCCATATCCCTCTAAATCTTGCTGTTCTTGTCCAAATATCTTTTTAATGTTGTAACTATACCTGTACCTACCATTTCCTCTGGCATTTCATTTCACAAATGAACCACACTCTGTGTGTGTGCAGCTTGGCTTTAAATATGACACAAGACTCGTGAAATCTGTAAGGTCCTGACAATGGTGAGTGCCTCAACCTCAACGACAGAACAATTCCCTGTGAAAGGCACCTCAAGATCACAGTTGCATAATTAATTCTTCAGAGTTCTGTGGATTCGCCCGATTTATCAAGTCTGTCATGTAGGGATTGGTAGTGTTTTAATCTTCCATTACAAAGAATGTCATTTTAGAGTCAATTTTACTTCCAAGAGACATCGCTTCTCTCTCCCAAAAGATATTCTGATGCCATCTTCACCCCACTTCTGAATCTTGCTTATCAACAATAACTTTATCGAACTGCTTGTGAGGGACGCTTACAATGAGGTACGCCTGTAAGAAACCAATGCCTCCCCCAGCATGTCAATGTAGTTATCAGCTGGTCACTATGCACCCGGCAAGAGCAAACCTACGAGACTGACAGCAAATTCAGAATCATGACTGAAATATTGTGCAAAACAATTCATCGTAAAATGCAGGTGTATTGCCATTACACTCTTGTATGTATTACAGTGATATGTACTGCCCATTAAAGAGTAGTTTCATAACTCAGATTTTCAATTAACACGGGTGCCAAACAGTAGTTAAATTAACAAGTGCTGCTTCCAGTCAGCATATTCTAAAGATGTTATATTAAACCAGTTTCCTTATGTGCTATAAAACGAAAATTTGCCTTCACCATAGTTCAACAACTTGTATTCATATATCATCATTAACCTGAAAAAATATTCCAAGCTAATCACAGGTGCATTATCAGATAAAATCTGAAAAGCCATAAGAGATATTTGTTTAGATGACAAAAAGAAACCTGATTAGAAAGGTAGGTTTTAAGGAGAGCATTGAAGGAAGACAGATGGAAATGTTTTGGGGAAGAATTTTAGAGCTTAGCTATTTAGTTACTGAAAGCATGGCTACCGACAATGGAGCAACTAAAAAAATCAGATTTCTCAGAAACCCAGAATTAGAGGACCTTACATAGCCAAGATGGTAGTGGGGAAATTCCAGGTATGGACAGATTTTAAAACAAGTATGAGAATGATAAAACTGAGGCATTGCTTGATTGAGAAATAATACAGGTCAGCAAGCACAAGGATGAAGAGTTGACAGGAATTTAAATTTAGCCAACAATATTATGGATGACCTCAAGCTTATGAAGATTTGTAAGTGTTTGATCAGACCAGGAGTGTTTTTGAACAGTCAAGTCTAAAGGTAACCAAGATATAATCAAGGGTTTCAGAAAATGAGCTAAGGCGTGGTTGAAGTCAGACAATCTTTGATATGGCACAAATCTGTGATGATCATATCTGGATCAAATATGACACCAAGGTTGTTACCTGCCTGGTTCAGCCTCAGACAGTGCTTGGGAGAGGGATGTTATCAGTGGCTTAAAAAAAGATGTTGTCTTGAGGACCGAAAACAATGTCTTCCACTTTTCCATCATTTGGTTGGAGTAAATTTCTAGTCAGATGTCAGACACAAAGTCTAGAGTCATTTAAGCAACAGTGGAAGGATTGACAGAGGTATTTGTGAGGCAAAAATGGCTGCATACACATAGAATCTCTCACTGCGACAGCTTATGAAGGTTTACCTGCAAAATTCAAAACCTTTGATGTTCAAAATGTTGTAGTTTGGTGCCTCTTATTGATGTACTTCTCAAAAACTGCTTAATCGAGATGATTACATAAAGGACACGGCAAAGAAACATGACCAAACGGAGAGACAGCAAGAACTGCAGATGCTAGATTCAGAGATAATACAGTATGGAGCTGGAGAAGCACAGCAGGCCAGGCAGCATCAGAGGAGCAGGAAAGTTGACGTTTTGGGTTGGGACCCTTCTTCAGAAATGGGGAAGGGAAAGGGAGCTCAGAAATAAATAGAGAGAAGAGAGGTGGGGCTGGGGAAGGCAGGTGGGATGGGGATAGGTGAGTGTGGGGATTGGTCAGTGAGGTGGGAGGGGCAGACAGGTGGGAGAAAAAAAATGGACGAGTTGTGTCAGGTCAAGGAGGCGGGGATGAGAGGGAGGTTGGACTCATCAGCTGTTGCTGCAGCTTTTGAGGGTTCCCTATCAAATCCAGCCAAACCAACTGGTTGGGTTGGGTGCAGAGCTGGATGAACACAGCAGGCCAAGCAGCATCATAGGAGC